CAATCATCATTTTTCTAAATTTATATATATATATTTTTTTTACTAATTTTTAATGCTTTTAAACGTGTCAAAGATGAATTTAATTTTAAGATAGAGGAAGGGGAGAAAATAACGTAAATTTTGAATACATTTATAAAAATATACATGGAGTTGCCGTTCTGTTAAAGAGCATATCCTGTTTCAAAAGAAGCAGGGGTGATTTCCATCGATTTGTTGACGTAGACGAAGAGGCATCTCACGGTATGACTTCTGAAGAGATAGGTCATGTCAAGAAGATGAGATTGCTTATCCTGTCAAGACAGTTACATGTTCTTATGTCACTTTACAGTAAGTTATTAAATCTCAAATAGTATCTTATGGTTTCCTTATATATATATATATATATATATATAAAACTGATATTTACAAATATATTTTATTGATTGTAATAAAGATAACATAAATTATCATTATATTCAATTATTTTCGATTCACTGCCAGATAAAGGACTGTTTCTAATCGTGAATTTACTACGGATAGGACAAAGAGAAGATATTCTTTCCATTTCATCCTATCCTTAGAGGAGAGAAAGGATTAGAAAGACGTCTTTATATTGAAGTAGCATCGAAAATAATGGATTCTTAACTAAATCCACAGGAAAGTAAATTCTTTCCTGAATAGGATTTAATTAAAAGATTCCTTTCTACTCTATCCTATCAGTAAGAAAGTTTAAGATTAGGAAGAGGCTTTCGTTTTGAAGTAGTATAGAAAGTTATAATTATTAATTAAATCCATAGGAAAATTAATTTTTCTATCGAATATAATAAAATGGAAAGGATTTCTCTCGTTTTTACTTTTCCAGCTATTAAAAATATGATCAAAAATAACCTCCCCTAAGATTTTTACATTTATGGATTGAGGGGACCTTGAAAAAATTCAAAAATTAGGGATTTTTCTTATGTATATGAATGTTAATGTGTGTGGGGGGGCACAATTTGATTTTGTTTATCCAGTTTGAAAATTAATAACTCATATGCCTTTTGTCCAAAATTTCTGAAATTTTGCAGAGTGGTTTGTGTATTAGGGGCATTGTTGCTATTAAATTTTGGTGGTTAAAGGTCACAGACGTAAGAAGATAGAGAGGGGTCATGTGTCATATCTCGGTTGGGATCAGAAATAAAAAGTTTCTTAAATAAAATCTAGTAACAGATGGAATCATACACAATTTTAAGTTTGTTTTCCGGGAAAGTTATGCAACTCGTTGCTGGCTTGTTTTCCTATTTGCAGCTTAATAATTCTGAATTAATTTATACAAGTTATAGGCTTATATATATATATTATTGTATATTTTAAATTCAATCAAAGAAATGTTTACTCAATATTCATGCAGGAGTGGAAGTGGAAAAGGACTATTCAATTCATTCTATTAACTTTTTTTTCAGCAGGTTCATAAATAGTGCAAACGTCTCCCTTCCTCACTTTATTGTATTAGCACTTCTAAAATTGGTAGATGGAGGATTACTCTACAAAATTAAATATCCGTTTTATATGTAAAATAATTCCAATCAAACTCGATAAATGTAAGATAAATTCATATTTAGTAACAATTGTTTAGCAATTGTTTTTTTTAAATTTTTTAATATAAAAAATGTTATTTATAAGTTATAAAAACTTATTAAATTAGATAATAAAATATATAGCAGTTATAATTTTTAATAATTTATGGTGTAAATATATTTTAAAGTCAATTTAACACAATTTATTACCTTAATCCTACACATAAAAAGTATGGAGATAAACATCTAGAAAAGTCNAAAAAGGAAGATAATTTACTTTAGAAAATACAGTAAAACCTGTGTAAACCGGAATCGTACTGTACCCAATATTTTCTGTGATTTCTGTGTTAAACAGGTTTCTTGTTAATGTAGAAAATCCAATTTTTCCGTTTAGACAAGGTTTCCGTTTTATTGAGGTTCCGTTTTGGACAGGTTTTACTTTATATAATGTGGAAATTTAACGTTTTCACTTTATAAAAATTATTTTTAAAAATAATTAAACCATTTAAAACTTATAAATTATGGTTTAAGTTGTGTTTATGTATTAAAATCAGTTTAAATAAATAAAGTCATCATCAATCATCATTTTTCTAAATTTATATATATATATTTTTTTTTATTAAAGAATAATTACACTTTATAAAAGAATAAACGTTTATAATGTGTAAAATCCGCTTTATTCAAGGTTAAAAAATGTATAGAATTTAATAAATTTGATTAACATTTTAACCAATTTCTTAAATATTTAAGTGTATAACAACTTAATACAGTAAAAACCTGTGTTTCTAGAATTTTTTCTGTTTAGGTAGGTTTCCGTTTTAGACAGGTTTATATTTATAAAATATATATATATATCTTTTTAAAAGTGTATAAAACATAAATTTACTTTTTTTCAAGGTTAAAAGATGTAGCTTTGATATATTTGATGGGCAAAGTATTGTTGTTAGTGTTGAGTCATTCGGTTTTCTTAACTCGATTCATCTGGCAAAAAAAAAGGAAAAGAAACAGAAAAAAAGGGGAAATAAAAGGGGGGATTATAGTGATAAGTAACCAACTGTATATAAATAGATATCTTGGTTTTTCTTTTCTATTTAGAACATCTACAATTTCGGTTTTTGGCAGGAGGCGGAGTTGTTAACTTTACGCTTGATGCATGAGGAAAACGATCGAAGAAAAATCTTCCGAAAATGTCCTCCTTAAATCACTTAACATACTTCATTAATATCCTTAACACAATTTTCACATCACGGTTTTTTTAAGATAACATTTTGTTACCATTTCACCGAGTAAATAAATTATTCTTGATATATATACAACCTTACTATTATTAGAATTTTAAAGAGAACGGATGGAAAAATACTTTAAAAAATTATTTAATAAATATATAAATAAACATCCCCTTTAACTACAACTTGAATTTTTTCTTTTTATTCTTAACTTGATATTAAACCAAAGAATTCTGAGTTTAATCTTTGTTTATTGAGGCACATTACACAAGATGGACGTATCAATGATAATGCTTAAATCTGAATTTATCTATTCTCTTACACTTAGAGACCAAGACGAAGGACAAATCATACAGATAACATCACGTTGTTTAATATCGAAAAGGTTTTATGTCAAACAACATCTCTTGATGTGGTTAAAGGGAAGTGAAACCCAATTTCTTCAACACTGTGATGTGCCTATCACTTCCAATGATTTACTGTAAAAACCAGTGTCCTGATAATAACTAAGTATAAATGCTGAGTAGATTGAACTGATCTACAGCAAAAAACCTGTCTAAAACGGAACCTGAATGAATAGAAACCTGTCAAAAGCGGAAAAATATTATGTACTGTGTTGAACAGGTATTTTGTTTTTTTAACGTAGAACATTAAGTAAAGATAATAAATTATATTATTAGATATAAATTAAACATTTTAATTAAAAATTAATAATAAAGTTGACATAATTAAAATTGTAAATAATTAATAAATTTTCATAAATTATAAAGGAAAAAGTCAAACAAAAATTAAATATTTTCTCAGTTAATGAAGTTCATTTATACAAATATTTATTATGAAAATGAAGCTAAAATTAAGAAAATTAATGTAAAGAAAATGAAGAAAATTTTTTTGTAAAATTTAATATTAAAATTCTTTAAAAATAAATTAATTAATCAGCATTCCTATTTAATTGAATTTGTTAATTTACATTAAAATTACATTAATGATTTAAATCTATGATTAATTAATACATTTACATCGAAATTTCCTCAGGATTGAAGCACATTTAATTAAGAATCTATGAAAAACATAGTAGGGTGATCAGGGCCTCTTAGAGGTTAAGAAAGGCCCAGGCCATGGCCGTTCGCAGAGGGGGATAAACGAAGATTCCTCCCCTAGGATAGAGTAAAAAACAGTGATTGAGATACGTAACCTTGCACCCTCGACCTTGCTTTGTCTATCTTAAAAAACTCCCCAAAAATTAAATAATTAAATAAAAATTTATCGATGTAATTATTTGTCTTCGAGTTCTCCCCCTCTAACAGCCCAGGCCATTATTATTATTCTTTTGAAGACCCATTACATTTGATGTGACCATAAATATGAGACTGTTCCGTTTTAGACAGGTTTTATCGTATATTTTCCTACTTTCTCCACTCAAAATACTATTATTTAGCAATTAATACACACGTAAATGTAAATGATACTAAGCTATAATTTACTCGATAGGTTTACATAATGGAAAATTTCTTAGAATCGAAGTAAATTTGTTCAAGATTCTACTAAAAAGATAAAGAAATGACGATAAAGTTTCAGAGTTCATTACTTCGAAAGTAGAGAACGTTTGCTGACGACGCTGTATTTAGCAACGAAGGAAGTTCGGNTTCGATATTTTACATTTTGAGAATTTGTCTTATACTTTTAAAGCACCTACGCTTGAAGCTCGTTATGTCCCAAAGGATATATCAGATTTAACAGTCTTAATAACCGGAGATGATTGAAGAGAATATTTCCGAGGTGAAATTACCGAAAGATGTTTACGAATTTCGCTTCCTGTCTGCGCTAAGTTGATGTATCAACTATAATATATAAAGTAGTAAACTGAGAAATATATTTAGTTTCTCTAAACGTTTAGAGTATTAAATCAAAAATATTATTTAT